CTACTCTGAGCCCCCCCCCCCGCCCCCCCCATCCCTTGGTGCAGCCAGAAGCCTCTCTAAAACACAAATCTTGTCCTGTCATTTTCTGCTTAAAATAACCAGTCAATGGAATAATCCATCAATCAATGCTTCAAGGGCTCATCCTTGCCCTCAGGAAGGCATCCAAAGCCTTCAGCTGGAACTCCAGGTTTGGTCCCTGCTGTCTCTCCTCCCTCTCCTGATTGTTCTGCTCACAAAGGGGACTTCGGTCACATTGCTGTAGTCACCATATCTCAGACACATCTTGCTCTCCATCTGTCTGCTTGTCCTATTGTTCTTTCTGCCATTCCCACATTCTCCACCTGGAGAAGTCCTGCTTAATCTACAAGCCAGCTCTGCTAGCGCCATCTCCCAGAACCCTTTTCCACTGGCTTGAGGAAGATCCCAGGGCTCTTTCTTCTTTCCTTTCCTGGAAAGGAAGCTTGTCTGCTTCCTCCAGAAGTTTTCTGGGAGTGGACTGAACTTGCACCTGGCTGTGTCCCCAGCAGTGCCAGCATGGGGCACAAAGCAGACTGGTAGGATGTGTTGGTTGGTTAGGTAGGTGAATGAATACATGAATGGGAAATAAATCCATCCTTGACCCATCACTCCCTGGCCTGCCCCAGAACTGCTGTTTCCTGGGGCAAACCCATTTTATAGCCAAAGGGAAAGCAGAAGGAAGGGAATGCTCCGGAAGGGAGAAAGAAAATCAATAAAAATGTAAATCTGGTGGAGAAAAGCTGTCCCAAGCTGGCTGTGGAGAGAGATAAGGCTGGGCCAGCTGCGCCCTGGCTGACAGAGGAGGAGAGATTAGGGAATGAGCTTGCTGCCACTAGGGTAGGGCAAAGCAGTGTGCCTCCTCCCTCTGTCCACTCTGCTCTTCTCCCTCTTCTCCTCCTCCCTGAGGTTATTAAATCTTTTTGGGGACAGAAGGAAAGGAAACTTGTAAATTCTGATCATCAGGTGCTTGGACTCTAGTACAGTATCTTATTGTTTGCACAAGTTGTAGGGATGGGAGATAAGCTAGACCAACTTTACCTTCCAGGTGAGCAAACTGAGTGCCAAATCAAGTTGTATATTCAGGGTCTCCATGAATCCGTGGTAGACTAAAGGTGTGAACTCAGATCTTACTGTCTCTATAGCTCTCATCACTCCATGAAGGGTTTAGCCTAAGACACCGTGTTCTTGGGAGGTCTACACCTGAGCTATAAAACATCTTCAACTTTTGAAATCATTTGTACAATTGTATTCCTGTCATGTGGGCTTATAATTTTCTTTCCTCTCTCTCTCTCTCTTTCTCTCTCTCTCTGTGTGTGTGTGTGTGTGTGTGTGTGTGTGTGTGTGTGTGTGTGTGTGTGTGTGTGTGTGCTGGGGCTTAAACTCATGGCCTCATGCTCTCCCTTGGCTTTTTTGTTCAAGTCTGGTGCTCTACCACTTGAGCCATAACTCCACTTCCAGCTTTTTTTGCTGGTTAATTGGAGATAAGACTCTCACTGATTCGTCTGCCCAGATTGGCTTCAAACCAAGATCCTTGGATCTTAGCCTCCTGAGTATCTAGGGTTACAGGCATGAGATGCTGGTTCCCAGTTATAATTTTATTTAAAAAAAAATAAAAAATTGGGTGCTGGTGGACCACACCTGTAATCCTAGCTACTCAGGAAGCTCAGATCTGAGGATTAAAATTCGAAAACAGTTCAGTCAGGAAAGTCTGTAAGACTCTTATCTCCAATAAATTACCAAGAAAAAAAAAGCCCAAAGTGGAGCCATGGCTCAAGTGGTAGAATGCTAGCCTTGAGCACAAAAGCTCAGGGACAGTGTCTAGGCTCTGAGTTCAAGCCCCAGGACCAGCAAAATATATAAAGTAAATAAAATAAAGTCCATGTCTTTAATCAGATCCCAAAGGACATTGCTACCTGCCCCTCACTGCACATCCCAGGCTGCCTGCCTGTAGATGGTAGCCTTTGAGCTGGGCCTTCATAAAGTGGTGATGGAAAGCTACACAGCAAGTGGGGTTGAGAGTTGGGTAGAGAGAGAGACCAGCACAAAGCCATGTTAAGGAACAAGAATTTAGCCCTCCCAGATAATGGTGAAGGTGTCCCTGGGTTTTCTGCCCTCAGATCAGTATGTTTCTTATGGTTCCAAGCTCCCTACTCCTCAGGGGCATCTGCCTGCTTTATAGCTTTTCAGTTTCTAAAGCAAAAAGAACTCAAGGCCTGGGATTAGGATGTCAGTAATGGTCCCTGTCCTGTCCTCTGATGACTTTACCACCAGCAGAATCTAGAACCTGGCAGGGAGGGTTAACACCGAATCCTCCCTGGTGCAGTGCAGAGAGACAATGAGCTCACAAGACACAAGTTCTGGTGGTTCTTCATTGAGCAGAGACTATGTGTGTGTATGTGTATGTGTGTGTGTGTGGGGGAAGCATGGCTCTTTAGAGGCCCATAATCTCTGGGAACCCCTGTCTCCCTTCTTCACTCCATTTGTCCCTCTCAGCTCCACATCTCCCATAGCCAGTACAGAAAACTTCAAGAACAAGGGAAAAACTTCCTCTCCTCTCCAGGTTTGGACTCACCTCAGAGGATGACTCTGCACCAGGCAAATGTTCTGAGATAATCTTCGCCAATGGTTTGCACGGTCATATTTAATAACATCTACAAAAGCAAGACATTTCAACCCTTTTCCCCCCACTCCAACTTCCTTTGTGGCTCAGTGAATGTCCACTGGCATTTCAGGGTCTGGCCAAGTGGCTGAACTGAATGTCATTGTCAGAGACTTTGTGTATAGGTAAACCATGGTAGCCATCTCTGTGTAAAGGATGGGACATTATGGTGTCATCTTCAGAGGTCATGCCGTGTGTTTGTGGCATTTGACCCTGAAAATGCAAGGGCAGTAGAAGGAACAGGAAAAAACAAGGTTTGAAATGCATAGAGCCAGAAACGAGGCTGTGGAAAATTCTTCCAATCATCAAAAGGAAATGTATTTTAGAGGTATTTATTAAAAACACTTAGAGGTGTACCAGGAAGTTAGTTACATTTTAAAAATATGTCATTTCTGGATGGTGTGATTTTTTTTTTCTTGTCCTAGATAAACACTCACCTTCCTTTCTAATTTTTTACAGGTTGAATGAACATCTCTAATCCCAAATTCTAAAATGTTTCAAAACCCAAAGCTTTCTGAGTGTCAACATAATACTACAAATGGAAAAATGCCACACCTGATCTTATGTGGTGGGCCCCTGTCAAAGTGGGGGGGATATTGAAAAATACTGTATAAAATTTTTTTAAGCTATATATATATATAAGATGCATAAAAACCTAGATGAATTTCATGTTTAGATTAGGGTCTCATCCCCAAGACATCTCATTATATCTACCTAAATATTCCAAAATCTGAAAAAAAAAGTTCCAAAATGAAAAACCATTCTGATTCCAAGAATTTTGATGAAGGGTTACTCATCTTTCATCCATAATTTTACATTCATTTTTTTTTCCTTTTAATCTCCCAAGCTGAGCACTGGTTCCTAGCCACTCAGATGGTTTAAAACCAGTCTGAGGAGAGTCTGTGAGACTCTTATCTCCAATTAACCACCAAAAAGCTGGAAATGGAGCTGTGGCTCAAGTGGCAGAGCATCACCCTTGAATGAAAAAGCGAAGGGACAGCACCTAGGCCGTGATTCCAAGCCACAACACTGGTACACACGTGCAAAAATGTCTCAAATTGTATTAGCTTTCATCTCACAAGATCCGATTCCGACTCTGGCTCTCCCGTTGCTTCCTCTATAGTCCCCAGCAAGTCATGTAGGTATTTTGAGTTGGTTCATCTTTTGTAATACATGAAAGACCATTGGACAGGTGGCTTTGTGGCTATATTCCACTTTTAGAAATCATTACTAGAAGAAATCTTGTTTAACAAAAGTTAAACAAGAATACAAAGAGAGAGAAAGACAAAACATACCAGAAATAATGGTGAGTAATGAACCCAGTAAAACTTAAATCTAAATAACTGTTGCAAACTTAAATCTAGACAACTGTTACAAACCTCTAGTGCAGTTTATTAAAAAAGAGAGTTTTGTAACAGGAGAAATATTATGCAACAACAAATTTAATATCCGTGGAATCTATAATCCCAGATTGTTACTGCTAAACTAAGAAACAGGAGGGAAAGGGAAGGAAAATAAACATACTAAGAAGACTCATCTTGGACTGGAGGTGTACTCAAGTAGGAGAGCACTTGCACAGTAAATACAAAGCATTGGGTTCAATACCCAGTACTACCAAAAAAAGGTCTTATCTTGTTGGAGTAGACTGAGAAATGCTTGGCACTGGTTAAAAACCAAAAAGAAAACCAGAAAACAGGCTCAGATATTTGTTAAATATTTGCATTCAATATGTAGAATAGGCTGGGAAGGTGGCTCAGTGGTAGAGTGCTTGTCTTGCATGCATGAGGCCCTGGGTTCCATTCCTCAGCACCACATAAGCAGAAAAAGCTGGAAGTGGCACTGTGGCTCCAGTGGTAGAGTGCCAGCTTTGAGCTGAAGAGCTCAGGCCCTACGACCGTCAACCCCCCCCCCCCACACACACAATATGTAGAATAAAGCAAGAATTAATTTGGATTTCTATACTTCCTTCTTCCTTCACATGGGAAAGCCTTGACCTTGGGAGCTGCTCAGAGGACCAGAGTCATGTAGGCCCCACTCCCATCCTGCCCAGGGCAGGGCTGGGCATCAGAGTAGAAGAGCCCCTCCCAGCTAGCTAGAGCATGTGAAGACATAGACTTGGCTGAGGGAAGATCAGAAGTCATTCTTCCCCATGGAAATAACCAGGCCAGATAAGAAAGTGAGGTAAGGCTTAACTTAGAGGGGGTGATAAGCCTCTCATAGGCGTTTTAGAAAACCAGAGGCCACTGTGACTTAAATGTCACAGAATCAGACATCATCTCCCCACCCCTGGGGGACATGTACTCAGACCCTGAGAAGAAAGGAGTGGAGAATAAGAGTTTATTCACAAGAGCCTCAGTGGCTTTGGTGGAAGTGTGTTATGTGTCAACAAGGCACAGGTAGAAGTGAGCACATGAGTGTCTGTTTGTCCTCTGAAGTTCCAAGGCAGGGTCTGAGCTTCTTCCCCAAATACTGGCTTCCTGAGGATAAGGGTTGGGATTTCCTAAATCAAACAGAGAATCTGTCCGTATATGCTTCTGTCCAGCACCCTTATTAAAGGCCTTGAAAGCTGGGTGTCCTGAGTATGAGGCCAGCTCTGGGCTATGCCTCCAGGGGGCGCCAAATAGACACTTCTTGATGGCTGTTTGAGCTTGGGGAGGAGACCTGAGTCTATGCTGACCACACAGATGATCATGGCTGATGGAGCCCGAAAGCTGGAGAATGCATTCCTGCCTAACAGAGGAGGTGCCTGAGACTCAGAAAGGGTGCTCCCAGTGAGTGGCAGAGCTGGGTTGAGGCTCATGTGGAGGACAGCCTGGTCTACTTTGGTCTACTTTCCTATGCCTGGTAAAGTTTTCAGTTCTTTCACTCAAGAAAATTTGGTTTCAGGTCATCTGTTTGATTCCAGGAGTAATGAAAAAGACACCCTGGCTTCAGAAGTGTCCACCACAGCAACTCCCCAATGACTCTGGTTCTAATGACAAACAAAAGCCCAGAGAGGGCCAATAGCTTGTCTAAAGTAACTCAGCAATTTGGCAGAGAAGCCAGAATTGGAACACAGTATTTTGGACACTCAGTCTTTGGTCAAAAGCTGAGAGAGTGTACTGCAAGGCTGCCATGCTTGACCAGGTGGGGCCAGGACCACTCACACCCTGGAATCCTCCGGTTTCTTCTCCATCTCCGATGCCAACAACTGCTGCTCTGGGCCAGGACTAGATACGATGGTCTTGGTCCTTGCGTCTTTGTTCTGGTGCCTAAGGATGGCCAAAACTAAGGCAAAGCACACCAGGCTGCCCATTTTGAAGAAAAACTGGAGGCCGATGAACCTGGGGGGGGGGTGGAGGGAGAAAAGGACCCCTGAATTCAGGAGCTTGAACTGCAGTGCATGAATGTTCTTGGACAGGGTGGGGAAGTAGAGTGAGTCAGCAAACCGGACCCCTAGGGCAATTGGAAGTATTGAAGCCTCAGGGGTTGGAGACTGACTCCCAGAGGGCCTCTCTTGGAGAATGAGGAGGCTCTGCAGATGATGCTGGGCAGGAGCAGAACCGCAGATACCTCTTGTTCTGTCCTTGACTACTGTGTGACCCAGATTGGCTCTGCTGCTCTCTATGCCTTGCTAAGGGCTATGGGGGGGGGAGGGTTGATAAGGACAGCTTTGGGTTGTTCCCCCTCCCCACCCCCGTCCCACAGGAAAATGGGATGCTCTCCTGTGTAGCTCATCTAGGTCCTTGCTGACTTTACCTCCTGTAGAAAGCCACCCTGGACAATCTTGGCCGGCAGGAACCAGGTCCTGTGGCACGGAATGGGGGGAACCAGCCTCTTGATCCTGCTGTAAGTTGTCTCCACATCCATGCAGGCCATGGGCTTTGTGCCTTTGGACTCCTTGGAGGGCCCCATGGTACAGATGGGAAGGCTGGGCTCCTCTGTCACCAACAGGGAGGCCCCACTGTGCCAGCAGTGTGACCTTGAGCCGCCTCCACCAGCTGCGACCCTCACTTTCCTTATCACTAAAGGAGAGATCTGGCTTGCAGGACGGTGGGCTCAGCACTGGATACAGCACCTGCGACCTAGCAGGTGCAACTTACACAGGACTTCTCCTTTCCTCCCTGTTGATATCCCACTTGGGGTCACTAGGGTGTTTCTGGTTTCCTTCCTATAGTCCCCCAAATGTGTGTTTACCTGCTTCGGAACGAGTCATGATCATAGTAACGGCAGACGGCTTGACGCCCGCAGCTCTGGGCCCAGTACATGCAAGTGGTGTCAATGGCACTGCCGTGGATCACGGGGCTGGGCATCCAGGCTAGGGGGAGAAGGGGCTCAGGGAAAGTGGAAGCCCCAGCCGCCCCCCCAATGCACACACACATTCCCTCAGGGGCTTTGGACCATAGAGGGGCTTCTTGGCCTCCAGTCTTTGGCTTCTGGATACCCCTGAGCATGGATCAAAAGGAGCCTCCATTAAGTTCCTATGTTCTACTTGTACCCCTGCCCCCCTACCCTCCACCACATATGTTACTATTAAGTTAAGGGACTGGGTCCCATAGATCTGACACACAGAGGGCATATGCACCCCCATCACCACCACCACCAAGGGGCCCATGCAGGCTCTTTACCCAAAACTCTCAGGAGCATGAACTGCATCCCCACAGCCAAAGGCTTGTCTTCCTTCTTCACTCCCCTAACAACAGAAGGTAGTGGCATGAGGCTTAAGAGGGTTCTGGGCCCCAGAGGCCTGGTAGCAGTGAATGGTTCTCACTATACCCTTCTCTCCCACCATGATGTCAGCCTCTGTACAGCCTGTGGGTGGGAGGGGGGGGGATGGACAGGCTCAGATTGCCCATCTGTTACCCCTCAACCTACAGTGCCTGGTTCCCATGAACCAGGGCCATTCACTCACGGTCACAGTCTTGTGTGGATCTCCCTGGGTTCATCGCTCTTCTCCCTCCAGGCCCTAGAGCACATGCCCCTCCCTGTAGGACACTCTCCAGCTGTGACATTAGTCTTATCCCACTGACATTTGCTACAGGACCAGTATCAGCTCCTGACTTTTTCTGAGCCTCAGTTTCTTTCTCTTCAGGCCTTGTTGCCAGGGGGATCAGCCAGGGCCTGGACTGTTATGGGAACCCAGGACACTAGAATGGCCTCCTTCCTCCAAGTCCTCCATTGCTCCATTGAGTGCCTCATCCTGACCATAGTTAAGGACATTTTTGTTGTTCTTGTTGTTGGTTGTGGGGCTTGAACTCTGGGTCTGGGCAATTCCCTCAGCAATTCAGCTCAAGGCAAGTGCTCTACCACTTGAGCTACAACACCACTTATGGTTTTCTGGTGGTTTATGGGAGATAAGAATCTCACAGACTTTCCTGCCCGGGCTGGCTTTGAACCACAATCCTTAGATCTCAGCCTCCTGAGTAGCTAGGATTATAGGCATGAGCCACCACTGCCCAGCTGGTTAAGGATACCTTGGTACCCACCAACCCTCTCCACCCTTGCTTTTACCTCAGAATGAGCATAAAAGAGGGTGTGTGGGTGACACTGGCCACTGCTGCACCCAGGCTGACCAAGAGAATGAAGGGTAGCAGCAGGTGGCTGCAGTCTGAGTCACAGGAGCCTGCAGGCACTGGGCCGCCCCCCACCACGCAGCTGCAGTTGGTGTAGAAAACCTAGCATGGGGGAAGAGAAAGAAGATCTCTCAGTTGTCTCCAAGGGCAGATGTTAGTGAAGGGCTCCACTGAAGTCTGGGAAGTTCCCAGCCAGCAGAGTCTCAACCTGGGCTGTGGCTATGGGGAGAGGAAGAAAGAGCAAGAGTGTGTCCCCATGTCAGCCCTGATGTGTCTGATGGCAACTTGGCCAACCTCCAGCTAGGGATGCTTTAAAAGTTAGTCTGGCCGCAGTGCCCTCAGGCACCTGTCAGGAGCAAAGCCAAGCCAGAATGCCTGGCTTCTCCTGTCTTCCCTCACACAGCTTCTTGGGTGATATGGCTTCCTTTCCTAGAGCCCAGGTAGGCACGTGGGGACTGGTCCTGTCAGCTCCGCTCTCTAGTTGGCTGGGCTGGCCTGGGGCACCAGAGTCCTCTGGGCCTCTCATCTCCAACAGGGGCAGCCTCAGACTCTCCCCACTGTGAAAAGATTCACGAAACCCCCTGAGGTGGAGGCTGGGGGCCTTGGAAGGACTTAAGCATGGCAGAGATGTGAGGTGATAGTATTAAACAAAAGATGCTCCTACTTCTACTGGGCCGGACTGGATGGGTGAATGGGAAGGGTCGGGGGACAGGCAGAAGGAGTACCAGGGTTGGAATTGGGATGAACACGAAGCCTAGAGACTTTCCCCTTGGGATTCCTCCTTCTCACCCATCCAATCTCATCACACAAAACACCTTCGGTCTCTACCTCGGGCCTGAGTCACTCAGCCCCCGTCTCTGTGAGTCTGAGACCCAGCCCTTCCCCATCTCATCGACTTACTCTCTTGTGCCTAGACTCTTACTGAGCACAGCTAATGGGTCAGCCAATCCTTGAACCAAGACACCACCATCCCAGGTCTTCCAGATTTCCCTGATGCTCACCTGTGTGGGCCACACCCTTCTCCAAACACTGCACCCAAACCCAACCACTGTGGATGGCCCAAACGGGGCTGGATTGGGGTCAAAGCCTTTGGTTTTAGTCCCAGCTCTGGTATGAAAGTGGACACCGCCTCCCATTTCCAAGTCTTCCTTTCTCGGCTAGGAGCAAATCCTCTGTGCTTACCATCTTCTAGGCATGGTGGGAAGGGCAGCTTTCCCCTTACTACTTAATGAATTCACCCAAGGAAAGTAGTTATTCAGCACAGGGTACTAGATAAAATCACCCCCATTTTACATACCAGGAAACAAAGTCACAGAGTAAAGGATCTGTCTATGTTAACCAAATCAGTCAGGCAGGAGGGGCCAGGTTGCTGGGCCCTTGGTGTTCAGCTACCACCCATAGTTTACCATCAAGTCAGAATTCCCCCACCCTTCCCCTGCCATGACCTATTGATCCTGAAAGGGATTTCAGGGAGACTAGAAGGGAATTGAGGAGCTCAAACTAGGTCAGGACAATGAGTGCTTAGGAGGCCTGAAAGGCTGGGGTGGTTTTGATTCTAAATGCAAACGCTTTCAGCCCAGCTGCACCTGGCTGACTTCCAAAAGGCTGTCATGGCCACCAGCCACAGCTAGGTGCTTACACTGTACCATGTGGAGGCTCAGGCCCTTCCCAGCTAAATAACGTTGATAGTGGCTCAAGGTAAAGGTTCTGTGTGCAGGTGGGGCTCTGGAGAGAGGAAGGCAGATCCCAACAAGCACCTGACAATGCTCACTCTGCCCTCTAACATGCTCGACTAAAGCCTAGAAGTCTGAGGAAGGCAGGTATTGACCCTAATTATCATTCTGGGAAATAGAGGAGGAAGGGAAAAAGCAGTGTTGGTGTTAGGGGCTCTTGTCAGGCTAATACAGAACATACTGCAGCTGATTACAATGACTTTGTTTTCCTACTGGGAACTGCCTGAGGACTGGGCCCCTTGGCTTTGAAGCCTCAGTGTCCTGCAGAGAGCCTGGCACAGAACAGGAGGATCTGTGAAGGTTTGTTGACTGACTGATTGATGACTGTCTGATCAGGCTTGTACCAGCCTCCTCAGTGATCTGTCCTGCATGCTGTCTGCCTTTCTTCACACGATGGTCTCAAGGATGATGGAGCACAGAATGTCACTCTGTCTGTCTGTCATGACCTTGCGTTAAGCTCACACATATGCTCCCTCTCCATTGCTCTGCAGTTACATTTCTCACTCTTACCCTAATACTCATAGTCCTTCCTTTTCTGGGTCTGCTTTTTTTTTTTGTCTGCTTTTCCAAGTCCTTTGGAGTTACTCAGAGCACAGGTGTGCATGCGAGTCATACTTATACACTCTTCCAAATCTTTGTCTTTGCTGTTCCCCCCCTGCTTGGAAAGCCCTTCCTTCTCAAGTCTTAGTTCGCCAACTCATCCTGGAAGACCTAGCACAAGTGCCACCTCTCTTGGAACCTTCTAGGATGCTCTGGGTTACACCCCCTCTACTCTTGTACAGACTTGTGTAAGGACTATTTCTGCCCATTGGCCCCTGGACTTCCTGTGGGCTGTTTCTTTCTCCATCTTCCCTGCACAGCTGCAGCATGGCTCTGGCTCATCTCCCTGGGCCAAGCAAGAAAGGAAACTTAGTTTGAGAGAACAGTGCCCTGAACCTGCCAAGAGACAGAGACAGAGGGAAGAGAGCCAGGGAACAAGAGGGGACACACGCCAGGCCTGCAGAGACGGGTAGAGGCAGAGGATTGTGCCAGAAGCACAGCTTACCTGGCTTTTGTCCAGAGTCCCTTGGATCACATGGCCTGTGCAGCCAGCATGGCAGGGTGTAGTGTATTCCACATGGGCGATGGTGTCGCAGACAGGGTTAAAATCATCTGGCGGGCAGGAGCAGGATGCTGAGCAGTCAGGGAACAGCCTTTGCCCAGGCTGGGTGCTGGCAGGAGAGATTGCAGGCAGGGTTGGCCCAGCTTTCCTTCCTCGGGTCACACACAGAGGCCTCTTGGCCCACAGCCTGGCTCTTATTCTGCCAGCAATGGTCAGAGATTTCAGCTGCACCTGAGCTGCCCCATGAAGAAGCAGAGAAGAGCCCCCGGAAATGTGATGAGGGTGCAGGCGGGGAGGGCAGTGAGCAGGAAGAAGGGCTGAAGTTCAGGAGGACTCCTAATGGAGAAGTGGGGTGGGGGTTGGGGGGTCTGAGCCAGAGTCTTCAGAGCTCTTTTACAGCCCTTGGTCCTATGCATCTCCCAGTTTCTTCTGCAAGCATCTCTGTTCTGTAGTGGCCTTTCTTTAGGGAACACCAGAGAGTCTCCCAAACGTAAGGGCCAGGTGAAGAGGCCTTCCTTTCCAGGAGCTGATTTGCTCTAACTACTTGAAAAGTACAATTACAGAGCCTAACACCAGTGGCTCATGCCTATAATCCTAGCTATTCAGGAGGCTGAGCTCTGAGGATTGAGATTTGAAGCCAGCCTAGGCAGGAAAGCCTGTGAGACTCTTATCTCCAATGAACTACCAAAAAAAGGGAGGGGGGGACTGGAAGTGGAGCGGACACTCAAATGGTAGAATGCTAGTGTTGAGCATAAAACTTCAGGGACAGGCCCAGGCCCTGAATTTAAGCCTCAGGATTGACACATAGGAAGGAAGGAAGGAAGGAAGGAAGGAAGGAAGGAAGCAAGCAAGCAAGCAAGCAAGCAAGCAAGCAAGCAAGCAAGGAAGGAAGGAAGGAAGGAAGGAGAGAGGGAGGGAGAAAGAAAGAAGGAAGGAAGAGAGACAGGGAAGGAGGGAAGGAGAGAAAGAGGAAGGGAGGGAGGGAGAGAGAAGGGGGAGAAAGGAAGGAAGGAAAGAAAAAAGGAAAGAAAGTAAAAGAAATAGAGGGAGAAAAAAAAAGCTGGGCCCCAGCAGTTGCAGGACATTGGAGCTGCTCCTGTGTCACTGCGGGCCTGAGTTTCTTTGTTCACTAGGATGGGGCTCCCTCCTCCGGTCACTCCCCTGCAGTCTCATGACCTCTCTGCTCACTCCACTGTCCTATTTGTTATGTCCAGTGCTACCTGCTTCCCTCTTGAGGGCCTGCTCCCAAACCCCAACTAGGGTACCAGAGTTGGTCCCTCCGCAAACTGAGAGTTTCCTAAGGGCATGTCTGCAGGGTCCAGAGCAGGCTTTGTCTACGGAAGGCCCCACTCCAGACAGCCAGTTGCTTCAATGTTTGAGAAAAAGAGAAGAAAGGGGGTAAGACCGTGAGGGCTGGACCTTGGGGTTCCTCGTTCCTGAACTGAAGCCCCCACTTGGCATCTGGGTGGAGGAAAGAAAGCCAAGGAGGAGGTAAGACAAGAAGGTAGGGAATTCTAGTTGGGTGTTGGGCCAGGAAGAAATGAGATCATTCTAGAGAAGAGGCAGGAACAATGGAGTTTCCAACAACCTCTCCATGGCTCCCAAGGGTAGAGGAGCTTTTGTTTTGGCAGGGGGAGTAGGAAGGGTGAGGGGGAAGCAGAGAAAGGAATCTGGGTCCTTCCAGGAACTCAGCCCTTTTGACAACAGAATTTTTAGCTATGTTTCTAAGAACCAAGAATTGCAGGACTTTCCATTCTCCTCTGCAGCCTCTCTAAGAGGGGCCATCCAATCCTTGTTTCTTTTCCTTCCTTTGCCCCCAGGGTTGGATCATTCTCCCTCCCTGATAGATTTCAACCTTGGGAAGAAAAGCAGCCCTCGGGCTGAATTGGGGCTTGTCACTCACGCTGTGGCTTCTGTCTTGTTTCTGCAGGGCACACAGGGCTGTGCCACCATGAAGATGCCATCCACACCCAAGTGCATCCTGACTCAGGCTCCAGATATCCCCAGGTCTGAGCTTTCCTATCCCTGAAGTTCTGTGGAACTCCTGCTATTGCTGCCCAGACAGACACCTTTTCTGGACCTTTCTAGAAAGAAGTCTTTGGCTTCTGGTTGAGTCCAGGGAGGGACTTGAACAGAAAGAAGTGTGTAGACAGACAGAGACTAAGTACTGCTCCAGGGAAGATGAGAGCAAGGTAGGACACTCCTCCCCCCTCCCCTGCCCCCCATACTCCCAAGCTCCACCCCATTGCTGACTTGGCCTCTGCCCAGGCTCACTTGCCTCCTCTGTGTCCCCCGCTTCCTCTCCTCCCACACCCATGCAACTCACCCAGGCTGCCGGGTGGTGATGCCTGCGATCTGGTGGGTAGAGCATCCAATGAAGAAGAGGGGGAGGCTGAGCAGCAGGCAGAAGAATGCCCCCAGCAGGCAGAGGACACTGCAGCGCAAGGGGCCCAGGTGGAGGCGCTTGACCAGCACGCCTCCCACCACGATGCCCACAATAGCCGAGGGGATGGTGAGGCAGCCAATGAGCAGGTTGGCAAAGGAGGCTGTGACAGAAAACTGGCGCTCCAGAAACTTAGGCAGGAAGATGGCCGTGCCTGCCACCATGGACGATCTGCACACCTGCGACAGGACCACCAGCAGGAAGATGGGGTGGCGCAGTGTCTGCAGCAGCACCCTGGGGAAGACTGTGGGGAGGGGGGGGGGGGGAGAGTCACAGCAGGCATACCATCCCTGCTCATCCATCCTGCCCTACGCTGTCCCTTCCCACTCTTCCCATCCCATCCATCAAATTTTCTTTTCTCTCTTCCTTCCCTCCTTCCTTCCCTCCTTCCTTCCCTCCTTCCTTCCCTTCCTTCCCTTCCTTCCTTCCTTCCTTCCTTCCTTCTTTCCTTCCTTCCTTCCTTCCTTCCTTCCTTCCTTCCTTCCTTCCTCTCTCTTTCTCTCTCTTTCTTTCTCTCTCTCTCTTTTTCTTTCTTTCTTTTTCTTTCTTTCTTTCGCCAGTCCTGGGGCTTGAACTCAGGGCTCAGGCACTGTCCCTGAGCTTCTTTTGCTCAAAGTTAGCATTCTAGCACCACTTCCAGCTTTTTCTGTTTATGTGGTGCTAAGGAACCAAAGCCAGGGCTTCGTGCATGCTAGGTAAGCATTCTTCCACTAAGCCACTTTTCCAACCCAATCTAATTCTACAATGGACTCCTTTCTATTCAGTTCTATTCTAGCTCTGAAATTCTGTTAATTTCTTCCATTCCATCGAGCTAACCTTTTACTCAACATGTTTTTTCTACTTTATTTGGTTGGATTCCATGTTATTTTGTTCTATGCTATACAGTTTGATTCTATCTCATTCATTCCACTTTATTTTATTTTAAAATGTCTACTCATCATCCTTTTTTTGTGTGTGCTAGTTCTTGGGCTTGAAATTCAGGACTGGGTACTGTCCTTTAGCACCTCCCCCCATACTCAAGGCTGGCACTCTACCACTTGTGCCACAGGTCTACTTCCAGATTTTTTGGTGGCTAATTTGAGATAAGAGTCTCATAGATGTTCCTTCCCTGCTGACAAGAGGTCATGAGGGTCCTCTGAGCCAGGTCTGTTCCTATAGACTGAACCAGGCCCTCTGTAATGGTTGGTATATTATGTTTGTCTTCAGAGCATGGCCAAGCCAGCTAGTTCCTTAAATGGCTGGGCCAACAGCCATTTATTTCCTTAGGAGCCAAGAAATAAAGACAAACAGTCTAAGTGGGGTGGGTGGGGACCAAGACTGTGGAATTCCCCCTGCTTCACACACAAAGCTTTGCCACCAAGCAGTGCATTCAGCCAGCATTTGCAGTGGGATGGAGGGCTCTGGTCTTCAGCCCAAATAGTTGATACAACTTCCCTCCCTGCCCTGGTCAGAGTACCAGATTCAAGGCCCCTTAGTAGGGTTTGGCCTCAGTTGCACAGGTGTCTACACTGCAAGGTAAAGAGGACCAGAGAGGGTCAGGGACACATCCAGGAGTTCCTGAGGCTCTCCTAACTCCCATTTCAGGGTTATTCCCTTTATGTTCTCTTGTTGGCACACACCCCCATCCCTATTCTTGTCCTCTCTGACAGCTTATCTTAAGGGCATCATCCCACATCTTCCAACCACCATGTTCCCAGTCCCTCTACCCATAAATTATTTGCCCACTGCGGTAGCTCAGCCTTCTCCAGACCAGGGGAACATGCTTCTCTTAGCACTAACTAACCTCCAGCTCAGAGCCCTCTCTCCCCTCTGCTTAGCCTAATGTCTCCCCCATCAGACACACGAGGGCCTCAGCTCAGGAACTGTCTTCCCATCAGCCAGGGGCCTTCTCCAGCATAATGGTCAGGTATATTCCATGACCCTAAGCTTTCCCTCTATCCATGGACTATGTATCCTCCATTACACTGTTTGTCTCATTGATAGGAGCCTACCCTGATCTCAGGGACTATATTCCTCTAAGATTGTAGTGTTTATGCAGCAGAAGGACCATGCTTCCTTTGTCCCTTTGTCTCCTTCATGGTTCTAGGTGGTCAAAGGCAGGCCCTGGGTTCAGACCTGCCCTTCTGGAACTCAGCAGAAGCCCCAAAGCCACAGGGCCTGAGACCAGCCTTGCCTCAGTTTCTTACAGTGTCCCATAGAAGCTGAATCCACTAGAGACAAGCTGTCCCAGAACAGCTCTAGGATTCAATTTCAGCAGCTGGCACCAACTTTTCTCTGGGCAGAAGCCAACACAGTGATTAATAAGCTCTTCTGTGGTGCAGTGTATGAGGCCTCCAGCAGAAGGGGGTGAGCTGAGGTCTGAGAGCCCAGACCTCTACTACAGGCCCAGCCTTGTAGAGTCCAGGAACTGGAGATGCTGGCGAAACAGGGGTGGATTACTAACACCCCAGTAGGCCTCACCTGTCAGTCTTCTGCTTTGCTGTCCAGAGTTTCCCAAGAGATCCTGGCATACAGTAGGTGCTCAATCAATGTTCATGAGATCGAAGCATTAGGGAAAACTCTCTGGTTAATGTGGACTCTGATTACTAATTGATGGATTTTGCAGTGTTGAGATTAGAGTTGCATGAGCCTCACATTATTGAAACTAAGAAATTGTACTGGAGAAACTGAGGCCTGGAAGAAGAGCAAAACTCAGAATAAAAGCGCAGGCCTCTGAATTCAACCCAGAACTCCCTTCTCCCATGCCACAGCCTGAGGATTGAACAAATATTTGCTGAGGACCTCCTACTTGCAGACTTAGAAGTAGATGGAAAAGGGGCATAGGCTCTGATCTCCATCAGCGCCCCACTGCAGGGAAGGGCTGGACAAGTACTTAGCCCAGATCTGGAGTGATAAAGAAGAAATGGGGTGCCGGGCCCAGAGCACAGAAGAACACTGTCTTGCTTGCTGGGAGAGCCAGACATGTGGGAGAAAAGGATCAAGTCTTGTGTTTGATAGATAGCAATTAGAAAAGAAGTTCTTGGCCTGCACAAAGACTCAGGGTGCTTGGTGCATATGATGGGGGGCTGTAGGTGTAGAAGATGAATTGAGAAGGCAAGAAGGGGCTGGAACCTGTACAGCCTGCAACATCTCTCTAGCCCATCTACCCCAACCTAATCTTTGCTCACTCACCTTTGATGAACTGGATCACAGTCAGGTCTGGGGCCAGCTGGGCTAGGCCATCTTGCTTCTTTGTGGGCTCCTCAGGGCTCTGTTCAGAAGGGCAGTCCTCACCCTGAGAGGGACAAAACTAAGGCCAATCAGTTGGATGCCAGAGTCGGTACTCAGCATGCTCATAGGGTGGGCAAGGAGACTCTGGGAGGGGAGAGGCCAGCACGGTTTCATTGATTCTTGACCCTATCAGTACTTGACAAGGGGTGAATGGAATTCCTGTGTCATCACCATCATTCAACCCATTAGTCACTGACTTACCACTATAACTACTTCTATCACCTTAACAATCTCCCCATTCATGTCGCCAATATTCTTATGATCAATTATTAATGGGATAACATTGTCTCTGTTGAAGTCACATTTGTCTTTGTTATCATTGTCACACGCACTTTAAGAATCATCACCAACATTATGGTCATCAGAATCACCACTGTCATCATCGCTACGTCTACCATCATCCCTACCAGTGTCTTCACCATTACCTGTGTCACCAACCTCACCTCGATTCTGACCAGTACCACCAATATCTCCATTCTGATATCATTATCAACGTCACTACGTTGACTATCAACAAGGCCATCCATCCTGGCACCACTATCACCATCCATGTCACTGTCACCGTTAACGTCTTTACCAATTTCACCACCAATGCTACTGATACAATGACAACCCTATCGTGCCTTTCTCCACTTGAGACTTTCATCAGATGGGAGTCACCAGAACTGGGAGCCTCCAGTAGGCTGTGCATAGAGGTGGGGGTGGGGTAGGGGTGTATTCTGTGGTGTCTGCTGACACAGGAAGTAAGGTGGGGTGGGGTGTGAGACAATATCCAGCTCCTCTAGGAAGTCAGGCCACAACCACAGGATGGGCTCGACCCTGCAACTGCTGTGTGCAGATGCTCATGGATATCCTGCAGCATATCCCTCAACCCGGGGAAGTGTGGCCTCCATGAAACTCTTAAACCAGAAGCCTGGGGAAGAGAAGGTTTTTGTGTGGGCAGTCACATCTTCTGAGTGTCAAGAAGAGGAAAGGAGCTGGGTTCTGGTGGCCCACGCCTGTAATCCTAGCTACTCAGGAGGCTGAGGTCTGAGGATTGCAGTTCAAAGCCAGCCTGGACAGGAAAGTCCATGAGACTCTTATCTCCAATTAACCACCAGAAAACTGGAAGTGGCGCTGTGGTTCAAGTGGTAGAGCACTTTGAGCTGAAGAGCTCAGGGACAGTGCTCAGGCCCAGAGTTCAAGCCCCATGACCAACATCAACAAAAGAAGAAGGAGGAGGAAGAAGAGGAGGAGGAGGAAGAGGAGGAAATGGAGGATAGTGCTTCCTAGACATGCAACCACACTCAGTAAGCTGGGTCCTAACACACAACTCACCCGGACCTCTCAGCAAGCCTTCTGAAGAGGACACCATTATAATTGCCTTTATCCAGGTGACAAAATGGAGACACAGAGAGATGAAGCAACTAGCTTCATCACACACTGGTAAGCCAGCCTCCAGAGCCTGAGCACTTAGCTGACAAAGCGAGTGCCCCAGTTCTTCTGCCAGCACTCCTCTAGCAAAGTTTTATGAGGCAAGTGCTATGACTGCGCAGTTTTTAGATGAAGAAAGTAAGAAGTTGCTACTGTAGATCCAGGGCCATGGAAATACATGACTAAGTGAGGTCTGATTTTTCTATGCAGCTTGAGGTCAGAATTTGAAGCAAGACTTCTGCATGGCAAACTGAAGCACAGACAGCATGCAGCATTGTTCAGAAGAGGCTTCCCTAGGAGGAAGCAAAGCCCCATAACTAGAAGTGTGGTCCATGGGAGGACAAGCTGGGCTTCTCCCCTCTCCTGCCTGGTCTTTATGAGGTCCCCACAGCTCTCTGGGCTGGGTCTGACACATCTTTCTCCTCTCCTCTCATTGATGATGATGATGATGATGATGATATAGTACTGAGGTTGAACTTAAGATCTTGGGTTTGCTTGAGCCACATACCTATCCCTTCTTGCTTTAGGTTATTTTTCAGATAGGTTCTCTTTCCTGGACAAGTCTCAGACTATGATCCTCCTACCTATGGTTCCCATTACAATTGCCAACCACCATGTTTGGCTTGTTGGTGGAGATGAGGGTCTCCTTAACTTTTTTCTTGTCCCATGCTGGTTTGGAATCATAATCCTCCTGATTTCTGCCTCCCAGGAAGCTCTAAGAGTTATAGGCTCATCCCTATAACCCTGGGTTACAGGGATGAGCCTATAATTCTTATGCATCTTATTTTGCTAGAGAGCCTCCCATGAGGCAAATGCTGGATTTCCCCAGATTTCAGAACCTCTGGAGGCACAGTTACTGTCCAGCGTCCTCCCTGTGCTGGCTGCTAACAGGCTGTCTTGTCCTGTCCCAGCAGGAGAATTCGTTTGGATGAATATTAATTCATGTGTGCTGTCTCCCCTGGGCTTTCCCTCCTCCTCTCTTTGTTCATCTCAGCAGGGGAGGTTTGAAGCACCACATGCAAAGGGCTCATTGGGTTTCTTCCCTAGCTTTGTTTCCATAGTCTGCTGAGAGGATTCTGAGTGTGAGGACTATGAAGGCCTTGAGGGTTGGAGTAAGAGGATGCCATCAGAAAAACAAAAACAAAAAACAACAACAACAACTAAGGGCAGCTGGCATAGGAGGCTCATGCCTATAATCCTAGCTACTCAGGAGGCTGAGATCTGAGGACCAAGGTTTGAAGCCAGCAGAAAAGTCTATGAGTCTTATCTCCAATTAACACCCAAAAGCCAGAAGTAGAGCTGTGGCTCAAGTGGTAGAGTATTAGCCTTAAGCAAAAAAAGCTAGGGGACAGTGCCGAGGCCTTAGTTCATGCCCCAGTATACACACACACACACACACACACACACACACACACACACACACACACTGTTAAAGCTACAATGGAGCATCCTGTGGGTTCTGCAATCAGCAGGCACCCACATATCCTGTAAGACAGGGCCCAAGGAAGTAGGCCCTGAGAGGTGGGCCAATGGTCTACATAAAGAGCTGAGTTTTCCAGGTTCCCAGCCTCACCAAGACTCCTCCGTAGAGTGTGACCAGGGTGCACTGATGCCAATGATTTCCAAATGTAGATGGGGCCTCCCAGGTATTTGGGGACTGTGTAAGACCTCAGGACCTTTGCTTCTTGGTTGGAGATACCCGAGCAAGGCTGAGGTTGAGTTTCCAGGTGATGTGGCAGGATGGGCATTCAGAGTAGAAATTAAGTTAATTGTTTACAAAATAAATATTGTATACACATTTAGATGCCAACATTTGTTCTCTGTGTGACTATCTTCCTGACTGACCCTGAGCTCTGAAAGAGCAGGAACAAGTTTATATTGTCTGTTGAAACCCTGGTGCTCAGCACAGGGTGAGGCAAAATAGTGTCCAATCCTTCTCCAGTCAAAGGAGAGTAAGGGATGGCTTCAGCCCGCAGCAGCTGCAGCCAGTGCTAGCCTCTGGGAAGAAACATGAGACTATTGAGAGGAGACACTAGCATGCTGCGAGGTACAGACCGAGGCCATGAGTTCGAACAGAGTGCCCAGGGAGCTAGCAAAAAGGAGACTTCAGGGAGTATGGGCTTCCAACTGTGCATGCTTGAGTCTGAGCCACTAGCCCCCAAGTAACTGATTATAAGCATGCCCCACCACACACGGCAATTTATTTCACTTTTAAACATGGTACTAGAGGACTTAGAATTGCATATACAACTTATATTTCTTTTGGCCATTCTGTCAGGGAGTTAATGAACCTTCTTGCTCTCAGTCATGGCCACATTATGGAAGGGTTGGGGCGGGAGGGACAGCATAGTGGAGTCTAGACAGCTGAGGGAGAGGTGGCAGGAGAAGGGTGATGCCCCACAGAATCCTGTGGGCTCCGGGTTCCCATGTAAATAGAAAAAGCAGCCAGAGGCACCGGTAGCTCATTCCTGTAATTCTAGCTACTCAGGAAGCTTAGATCTGAAATCTAAGTTCAGAGCTAGCCTGGGCAAGAAAGTCCACGAGAGTCTTATTTCCAATTGACCACCAAAAAGCCAGAAGTGGAACTGTGACTCAAGTGGTGGAGTGCCCATCTTTGAGCAATAAAAGCTCAGATGAAGTATCCAGACCCTGAGTTTAAGCCCCAGTACTAGAACAACAACAACAATAACAAAGTAAAAACAACCTCCGTGCCACTTGCCACCATGTACATCCCTCTCAGGTCTACATTTCTTTCATTCCCACCGTGTCCTTTCACTCTAAGGAGTTTGTCTAGTGTGACGTTGTTACTGTGCCTATCTTATAAGAGTGAACACTAAGGCCCAAAGGGGAAATGCCGGGAAGGAGGGAATGGGAAAGCATGTGATCAAACCCAGCTTCTCTGCTACCCCTGTCCTAGGCTGAGAGAAATGGCATGGGGTTTGGGGAAAAGGTAAGTTGGACTGATCTGTAGGAGGCTGGAGGGGACAGGGAAGGCCTGCAGAGAGAAGAGGTTGGAATAGGGTAGATGGAAGGCAGGGAGAAATGATTTGAAGCAGGGGCACTGTGTAAGTTAAGGTATAGTGGTGGGAAAGAGACAGCAAATGGCAAGTGCCCCATGGGACAGCAAATGACTAAGTGATAGACTTAAGCCAGGCCTGGGAGGTTTGGGGCCAGATGAAGGGACTGGATTCCTGTGGGTGTCAGAAACCCTAAATGTCGGGGCTGGGAAGGTGGCTCAGTGGTAGAGCGCTTGCCTTGCATGCCTGGGTTCGATTCCTCAGCACCACATAAGAAAAAAGAAAAAAGCTGGAAGTGGCGCTGTGGCTCCAGTGGTAGAGCGCTAGCCTTGAACTGAAGAGCTGAGGGACAGCGCCCAGGCCCAGAGTTCAGGCCCCACGACCGGACCCAAAAAAAAAAAAAAAGAAACCTAAATGTCTCTGGCTCCTATCCCCATCTTCTCAGTAGTTTCCAACCTTGTCTCTCATCAGTTTGCTGGACTGCTGACTAATAGTGAGTTCCAGAAACAGGAAGCACCGTGCTTCTGCTTAGGGCAGAGTTGGAGGGACCCATCTGGTCTGTGGTTTGCCCAGG